CTAATTATTCAATACATTTTATATACAATTATGAAAATTAAATGCTGAAAGCCTAGTTAGGGAACACAAATTTCTAATAGCATCACCGACCGATGGAGGTGTTTTATTTGCCAGTCCGGCCAGCTGCGCCCCTTTTCACAGCCAATTTTGTCAGTGACGCTATTAGAGCCTACATCTAAGAAGAAGGGTGTAAGTAGGAAAAAGTGTTCTTAACTAAAATTAAAAATAATCTTAATTTGCTATATTATTTAAGAATATACCATAAATAGGAGAAAAGAAAGTAAGAAAATTGTTAATAAAGTAAAAAACTGTATGCTAGATATACAGAGTGTTAAGTAGATAGGATAAAGAGATAGTAATGGGAAATCACCGACCCGGTGGGGGAAAATTTACAGCCAGTCCGGCAAGCTATGCCCCTGCTCATAGCTGGGAATGGTCAGTGACTTCCCGAAGGTATCCTGAAAGCAACGATTTTATTAGGGGTAGAGAAAGTTCGGTAGAGAAAACGTGATGCAAACTATTGTAATTTTTATATAGCACGCGAAAAGGATTGTGCATAGCGTAGTCTGTTGTGCACGTCGATAGGAATAAGGGGCGGTAATTTCTGGTTGGTCTAGCCGGAACAGAGAATTGAAGACGCCCTAGCAGAAAAGGAGAATCTATATCGCCAACAACCAACTTATGTAGAAAGACAACCACCTACGGTTGGTTAACGACGGAAGATTAAAAAAGAAGCAGCCTGCTGGAATAGGATGGCAACCGAAGATCAGGGTCCCAATTTAAATCTCGTAAGGCAAAAAGCAGAAATTGCTTCTCAACAGATTCAATACGATCCTGGCTATTGTTATACTGCAGAGACCAGATGCAAGAGCAGTATTCAAGGATAGGGCGAACAAGAGAGATGTACAGAAGTTTCGTTATAAAAGGATCGTTAAACTCTTTAGACCATCGTTTAATGAATTCAAGTACACCTTTTGCCTCATTAACGATGGTATCTATGTGAAGATTGAAACAGAGTTTAGAATCAAAAAGAACGACTAGATCCTTAACTGTTAGTATACGTTGCAATGGAGTATTGTCGATTGTATAACTGACAAGATAAGGTGTAGTACGATTAAATGTCATTAACATACACTTTGAACAATTTAGATGCAATTGATTGGCCGAACACCAAAGTTGCATAGCTTTCAAATCGTCTTGAAGACGAGAGTGATGTAGGGGATTAGTGTATGATAGAATAAGTTTCACGTCGTCCGCATACATGAGTACACGGGCATGGGATATAACAGAGGGGACATCATTTATAAAAAGAGTAAAGAGTAAAGGTCCAAGATGACTACCTTGAGGAACACCAGAAGTAACGTGAACCTGTTTAGCGGTAGTCAGCATTACTTTTTGGGTTCTACCTTTTAAATAAGAACTAATCCAAAGCAAAAGAGACGGAGGGAAACCTATTCGGTCAAGTTTAAAAAGGAAAATGTCATGGTGCACAGTGTCAAACGCCTTACTGAAGTCAGTGTATATGACATCAGTTTGCATTTTCGAAAGGAAAGCATCATTTACCAAGGAAGTAAACTCAAGCAGATTGGTCGTAGTTGACCGATTCTGTACGAATCCATGTTGAACAGGGGAAACAACTGATTTGCAGAAATGCTGCAAATTCGAAGTGATTATTTTTTCCAATAATTTAGGAATAGCGGACAGTTTTGCAATGCCCCTGTAATTTTGTATATCAGACTTTGCACCTTTCTTGTGGAGAGGAATGATATAAGATTCTTTCCAAAGAGATGGAAAGACAGAAGATTCAAGGGATAGATTAAAAAGCTTTAGCAATGGATAAACAAGGGAAGAACTACACTCCTTGAGTAGACAACTAGGAATATTGTCAGGCCCAGGAGAGAAAGAAGATTTTAAGGAATTTAAAGCTAAAACGAGAGAGGAATGGGAAATAATAGGCGGAGGTATAGAACTAGAGGAAGTAATAGTATAAGGGTAAGAATTATTATTAGGACAGATTGAAGAGTAAGTTGATTGGAAAAAATTAGCAAAGAGGTTAGCAGAATCAGAGTCATTGCTAGCGTTATTCATCCCGAGAGAAAAAGAAGATGGCAAACTTGAAGATTTACGCTTCAAGTTTACAAAATTGTAAAACTGTCTCGGATTTAGGGCAAGTTGCCTTTTGCAACGAGTTAGATAATTCTCATAGCATTGAGAATTCAGAAGAAAGAAGCTCGACTTGGCTATGGAATATTTAGCCAGGTCTGTACACGAACCAGACTTATTAAACTTTTTAAATATTTAGATTTTATATTTTTTAGATTTTATATATAGGAGTAAACCAAGGTGGCTTTGAAGAATTAGTCGAAGGAATTGACTTGGGAATACACATATCTAAGAGGGAGTTTAGGGTGTTATAAAAAAAGTTAATAGCAGTATTCATGTCAACCGAGTCATATAAGAAAGTTGCCAATCGGTTGCATAAATAAGCTGATTAAGCAATGAATAATTACCTTTGCGAAAGGAACGGCGGGGCTTATTGGCTGATGAGCACGAAATGAGAGGATTACAATTGAACATTGCAACCTCTAAAGAAGGATGATATACATCCTCAGGAAGAGATAAAGGAGGGGACCATTACAAATAAGGTAGTCGTTAACAAATACAAGATCAAGTGTTCTATTCAAATGATTAGAAATTGAATTGATTTGAAACAACGAAAGGTCAAGCATGCAATCTATAAAGTCATGCTGTGCTGAGGGCACTAGATAATTTTCGGCAGTGAAAAGTGACCAACAGATGTTCGGCAAATTAAAATCACCCAACACAATAAATAGGTCATTATCACGCACGTGTGAAGAAACTTCTTTAATACAAGAAATATGTTTCATATAAACTTGAATATCAGCAGAAGGAGGAACATAAGAGCATGTAATATAAATATTCCGTGTAGGAAAAGACACCTTGACTGAGACAATCTCAGCGTCAGTAGGCGTACTAAAACAGAAAAGTTCTGACTGGAGAGTGGCTTTAACGGCAATTAATACCCCACCACCTCGAGTCAGCCGATCATTTCTATGCAAAATAAAATTATTCGAAAAAACCTCAAAATCAGATATGGTTGAGTTTAACCATGTTTCTGAAAATGCGATTATATCCGAATCGAAGGAAGTGCTGGTCATGAAAAGATGTTTAATTTGAAATGAGACCTCTGACATTCTGATAATGAATAGAGACTTGGTCAGAAGAAGAAGTTAGTTTTTTGGGGCAGAAATGGTACCCTCTATTGAAGGGACGTGGAAGGGTGACAGGCTGGTTACGCTTTTTTGGCTTGAGCTCGTGAACAATCATGTGTGGAGGCCAAAATTTAGGATCACAAATGATTGGGAACATATCATGTGAAACATTTATTTTGAATGATGATATTTCACGAGGAGTGGAGAAATTAAATTTGGTAATTGACACGCTAGCAGAAGATTTGCCAGCAATATAGGCTGCCAATGACTCAGAGGTGGTGTCAGACGAAAGTCGAGACACAAAAACTTGCCTACGAGGGGCAACAACAGTTAACGTGGGAGCTGATGGGGCTGCAGGGAGAACAGGATTTGGTGGAGCCAAAGAGGCACCATGATTGTTTTTAACAATCTGGGCAAGATTGCGCGCAGGAGCTGCGTTGGATTCGGTTCGATCGTTGGAGTTTTCGGGTGCCAATTATCATGTTGCCCTTGGTTTTCTAAATAGAAGATTTAGTAACAAACGTCTTGTTTTTCAGTCACACATAAATGAGATTCTTGGGCTCCAGAGGGTAGAATCAGAGTCGGCTTCAAAACTGCGTGAGTTATCGGACAAGGTCAATTCACATATGCGTGCGTTGCAGACCTTGGGCAGCTTGGAGGAAATTTCAGAATGCATAATAGTGCACACGCTGCTTCAAAAGTTGGAAACTCAGACTCAGACCAAATCCCTACAGCCGATGAGTTCTTCACATTTCTGGAAAGGCGTAGTGAAAGGCTAAGGTGCAACATGCCATGTCATCCCATATGATTAATTCTCAGGTGGGCAAATCCAACCATAAAACTAACCACAGCAAAAGAGTGCTTGCAGCTGAGACTAACCAAAATGGGTGCAGCTTTTGTGATGAATCTGGTCACGGGATTTACACATGTAGTAAATTCCTTATCCCTGCGGCATAAGGAAGTCAAGAAACACCAAACTTTGTCTTGCAGTAGTAGTCATTGTCGTACTTGTGGAGGAAAGCATCATACCCTACTGCTACTTCACCAGAAGCGTCGACACCATTACATAGATCATCTGATTTGAGCGCCGCCAATTCGACACACTTTCACTCCACTACCTCTCTTGCTGTCCAAGGTCTTCAGTCTGGTGTTGTGATGTTGGCCACTGCAGTGGTACTGGTAAAGAATAGCTCTGGTTCCTTGGTTCCCTGTAGGGTCTTATTAGACTAAGGCTCGCAGTTGCACATGGTCACATCCCGTTTCGCACAGAGACTTCAGTTAAAGGAAACCAGGTCGTCGACAGTTGTCATGGGTCTCGGAGACACAAGCGTCTCTACTAAAGGATCAGCTGTTCGGATTCACATGAAGTCACAAGACTCAGATTATTCAGCCACCTTTGATGCTCTTGTGACTCCAACAATTACCGCTAGTCATCCTAGCTTCATCATCGATACATTGGACTGGAAAATTTCCTCGAACATAAGGTTGGCCGATCCTGCGTTCAACAAAACACAGCGAGTGGACCTTTGAATTGGAGCGAGCCTTTTCTATGAGCTTTTGTGTATTGGGCAAATTGTGCTTTTGCCAGAACTACCTCTTATGCAAAAAACTCTTCTTGGATGTGTAGTGACCGGTGGGTATGAGAGACTGCGCAGTACCTCGATGTTGGCTGCTGACCTCACTCCCGACAGCGAAGCTGGTCAGTTGGACATTCGTCTGGATGAGTTGGTTCGTCGTTTTTAGGAAGTTGAAAGCTTGGAAGAGCCTATGGTAAAAGCCACCAAAGAAGAGATGGAAGGCGAGCAGCACTTTGCCAATAACTTCTCTCGCTTACCATCCAGCGAGTATTCAGTGCGGTTGCCTCTGAAGCGGAGTGCAGAGCTTCTAGGAGAGTCTTATGGACAAGCTTATCGTCGATTTCTCAGTCTTGAGCGGAAATTGGGTCGGTATTTGCATCTAAAGGAGCAGTACTCGGCATTCTTCAAAGAGTTTCTGGATCTGAAACACATGTCGCTAGTTAGTCCAGAGTTGAGTGGCTGTTGTAAATACTTCCTCCCACATCATTGCGTCTTAAAGGTAGACAGCACCACAGCCAAGTTGCGTGTTGTGTTCGATGGCTCAGCGATGACTGGTTCTGGAAATTTTCTTAATGATGTACTGATGGCGCGGCCATTGATGAGCGTGATGCATTTCCAATTGGATGAAGTTGCTGAAGCCAAAGAGAAAATTCGTCAGACGGCCAGGATATTGTCTCGTGGTAACTTTAAGTGTAGTGTGTATATGCCCTAACCAAACACCCTGTATTTAAATATAAAAAATGCAGCACTTTGTTGCATACAATAACAATTATATAGTAAACAAGCCCAGAGCCACTTTATGTATTGGCTCTGTCTCATATTATGCAGCGCGGTTCACTAGCCTCACTAGATGACCGTTTATGCTTACGCTGCATATCCCACGCTCCGTCTGAGCGCATTCCGTGAGCAATATATATGCTCACTAATACAGGCATATGCGAGCTACTCACTCTCCCTCTCTTTGTAGCTGTTAACCAATAACAGCATAAGTGTATATGTATATCCATAGGCTAAGCGCACAATTTAAAAGGCGAATAAATTCATTGAGAATATACCCACAAAACTGCACTGACGTGCTGATTGTCTTTTTTAATATATATATGTGTAAAGAGCAAATACGATTTCTACATGGCGACCGTGACGAATCCCTGCCTGGTGGCAGTAGACAAACTGGACAATAAGAAAACTAAACCCCTGGAAAAAATAAACCACTGGAGGAAAACGACAATACACTGATTGCGACAAGAGGCCATCAATAACATCTGCCATCGTAACTGGGACATCGAGCGTCCAAGTTTCCTGAGTGAGTATAGAGTGAGTGTTATGGCCAAGAAACGCGGTGGCGTACAAATAAAATTAAAAAAAGAATAGCGCACCTAAGGTGGTTGCTATATACCAAAACGCCAACACCCGCATGGTCGACATCTCAGAAGTTACAAACTGAGCTCGACTTCCTGCAAAATATAATTAAGCAGAAAAAGTCTAACACCGCTAGTCACTCAGCGAATATAAAAGTTATTATAAACCAAACAACCACTAATAAAGATACACCCATTGCAGCAGTCAACCTCCCAAAAGTGAAAAAAATGTGTCCACAGAATTGCGAAGGCCCGCTTGATAGCCCCTTCTGCAACTACACGTGCAAACACTGCACAGCCAGCACCACCAACCAGTGAATACAACAACAAGCTGCGCCATCGGGACAAGTGCGAGCGGCACACCACCACTTGCGCCAACGAGGGAGCATCAGCGTGCCATATCCGGCGACGCCCAGCTGATGCAACGGACCAGCAACAGAAGGACATCTATACCTCGACTATTGACAAAAGACACCAGATGCAGCTATATACTTTAAATATATTAAAATAAAAAAAATTTTTTGTAAAATTAAGCGGAAACACATCCGCTCGATTAGCAGCATAGCCCGTCAAGCTATGCGAAACGCTAGATAGGATTTTGTCATATTATCCAAAATTTAAGAAACAAAATAAGCCATATACATACATACATGTATATGGCATAAAATCCATAATAAGCTTAACACAAAAAAAAATGGTCTTCTGCCAATATTAAAAACCAAAAAACTATCTAATTGTACATAAGTACAAGAACATTATTAAAATTTGAAAAAAAAAACCAAAATGTAAATTTGATAAGAGATACAATACAACGATATAAGACATTTTAACTTAAATGGGCTCGATCGAGGCCAAGGTTGAAAAATCAGCCGCAAATGTCATTAATAATGTAAAAGTCATCGATCATAGAGAAAATTTGGAAGAAATTGCAATTCTATTGCTAATCATAGCCGTTTTATCTGTCATTTCATTAGTACTCAAAATTTATGCAATGCATAATAAACAAATTAAAAAACGTTACTTGAGTAGGGCAAACGATTTAGAAAAAATCTAAAATTAAAAATTCCTTTAACAATGACAGATATAGAATCCATTATTAGGCTCACATATAGAGATGAGCCAGATTTTCGTATTCGCGCACTAAACGTACTGCGATTACACAGCGAATTCATTACAGTATATGAATTCGAACAAGAATATATAGAAACTTACGGCACTAACACAAGTCCGTTAAGACATTGCCAGAAGATAGAAAAGGGACTAGTACTTAATACGTTGCCATATGTCTCAGTCAAAATAATTACTGAAGAACACCCAATTTTGGGACCAGCAACAATAGTAATGGTCCGATTGCATAAATAAGATTAAAATAAAGAAGTGCCACATGGAATGGTACCAGATAGCTGAAAAAATAAAGTTGCATAGATCGAATTTCGACAAATCATACCAGTTTTGCAACCAACCATAATTAACACACTGAGATTCTTGTATATGAATACAATGAAATCAGGAGTTTAATTAAGGAGTGGCAGCATAAACTCACAAGCTTACACAGAGTCCAAACTTCAGACATTTTACAACGTCTAAGGGATAATCTGGTAAGCTTAAACAAAAAGTACAATCTCCAGCTTTATTTACCATCAGCATTAAACACGCCGGTAACGTTTGATAAGTCACTCTTGACAAACTCAACTGAAAACGACCAAATAGAAGACATAAAATTAGTAAACATGGCTCAGACGGTTGTAGAGTTTTTAAAATTAGCCTCTCACTCTTACCAGAGTTCGATGGAAAGGCCGAAAACATACAAAGTTTTTTAGATGCATTGAATCTAATAGTTTCCTTAAAAGGCACTCACGAACTAACTGCAGTAAGCATAATAAAGACTAAACTGAAGGGCCAGCTAAAATTTTATAAGTAATGACAGACAATTGCCATTATTAATCAATTATCCAAAGCTGTAAAAGGAGAATCTGTAGCGTCATATCTGCAAAACTCCTTAATCTGCAGCAAAAGAGCAAACGGCTAATCAGTACCAGTGAATCAATAGTCCTTGAAGGCTAATCAGTGATCGTTTAAGCCCGGATCTATCCAACAAATACAGTTTGACATTAGCTGTAAGGGCCATGACGCAAAATTGCGCAATTGATAAAGTAAAACTGATTGCAGCAGGCACATTCAACACCATGAATGATGCCATTTCAAAATTTGTCAACAGTTGTACGAAGCAACAGGCCAGGCAAATTCTGTATTTTACTTCCGTCAAAGACAATATGGAAATACTAGAGGAAAACGAGTAATTATCGTGGCAAGGTAATTATCAGAACAACGGTTCCAGAAAAGTGGAACTAAAGTTAAACCAGAAACTATAATAGGGCACAAGGCCATAATACAGGAAACTCTAGAGGCCGTGGCAACTCGAATCGAGGCCACAAAAATAATGTCCGAGTTACACAAAACAATTCGGAAAACTCCGAACGACCTTTAATACGCAACACTAAAAAACAATAAGGTTAACACCATCAATCGCACCTCAATATATTTGTATCATTTTACATTGGCAACAGGAAAAAAACTAGTTTTTTTAATAGATACGGTGGTGACATTTCAATATTCAAAGAAAATTGGCATAAGCCAAGAAGTTTTAAAATCTAAAGGCTTTACCTCAATTGAACTACAGACAGATCAATACATAATTCCACACAACTTCCATATAGTAGATCTGCATTTCGCAATACCAAGCGACGGAATAATAGGGATTGATTTTATAAAAAAATTCCATTGCCAATTAGATTTCAAGCCGACAGAAGATTGGCTTATAATTAGACCCAATAATCTAAATTTTACGATTCATGTTCCAATAACATATAGTTCTGGTAATAATACAATACTTTTACCAGCAAGATCACAAGTTGTCCGAAAAATCGTGAAGATAGTGTGAAGTGAAGATAGTGTACTAATTCCAAACCAGGAAATTCAAACTGGTATTTATGTTGCAAACACCGTTGCAACCACACGAAACGCATTTGTCCGATTACTGAACACAAATAGTACCGATCATCTAATAAGTATAAATAATCTAAATTATGAATCACTTTCGAACTACGAAAAGGTTCAAACAAACAATGGAAGTAGAAAAGAAGAAGTCGTGTCTCGACTATCCCAAAATTTTCCACCACAGTTTAAAGCAAAATTAACTGAATTATGCACTAATTATACAGATATATTCGGACTTGAAACCGATTCCATATCAACAAATAATTTTTACAAACAAAAATTGAGATTGAAAGATGATGAGCCAGTCTACATCAAAAATTATAGGAGTCCTCAAAGCCAAAAAGAAGAAATTCAAGCCCAAGTACAAACACTAATTGACGACAAAATTGTCGAACCATCTGTGTCAGAATATAATAGCCCACTTTTATTAGTCCCAAAGAAATCTCATCCTGAATCCAATAAGAAAATATGGCGATTGGTAATTGACTATCGTCAAATCAACAATAAGCTGCTAGCTGATTAGTTCCCACTACCTAGAATTGATGATATTTAAGATCAACTAGGTAGAGTGAGATATTTTTCATGCCTTGACTTAATGTCAGGTTTTCACCAAATTGAACTTGACAATAATTCAAGAGATATAACGTCTTTTTCGACGAGCAATGGCTCCTATCGCTTCACGCGATTACCATTTGGTTTAAAAATAGCGCCGAATTCATTTCAGAGAATGATGACTATAGCAGTCTCTGGACTTGAACCTTCGCAAGCATTCCTTTATATGGATGACCTAATAGTAATTGGTTGTTCCGAAAAACATAAGGTTAAAAACCTAACTGATGTTTTTGACATATGCAGGATATACAACTTAAAGCTACATTCTGAAAAATGTTTATTTTTTATGCATGAAGTCACATTTTTGGGACACAAATGCACAGACAAAGGAATCTTACCAGCCGACAAGAAATACGACGTCATTCAAAATTATCAAGTCCCACATGATGCGGACAGCGCTAGACGTTTCGTTGCATTTTGCAAGTATTAAAGACGATTTATCAAAAACTTCGCCGACCATGCACGGCACATAACTAGACTAAATAAAAAGAATGTTCCATTTGAATGGACGGATAAATTTCAAAATGCGTTTTTATACTTAAAATCTCAACTTATTAAACCGACTCTGTTACACTACCCAGACTTCACAAAAGAATTTTGTATAATAACGGATGCGAGTAAGCAAGCGTGTGAAGCGGTTTTAACTCAAAACCACAACGGACTCCAACTTCCAGTTGCATACGCATCCAGATCATTCACCAAGGGAGAAAGTAACAAGAGTACGACGGAACAGGAACTAGCAGCA